GTTTATATAATACTAATTTTAACTCTATTAAACTATATTATGTTAATTCTAACTTTATTGAACTTAAAACTAATATCGATTTTAGAAGTTTTGTAAGTATTTAAATCGTATTACACAGATATACTAATATAACAAAAGATAATACTTCGTTACGACTGTCACCTTCACTTCGTCTTTTAAACCTAAAACATTAGATTACAGTTGTTTTAATACTTAGTGACTGCCCTAACCCTAAATATGGAAGCTCTAAGACTATGATAGTATACAGTATATAATGAATCTAATAATATAACAAAAGATAACACTTCGCTATGGCTGTCGCCTCTGCTTCACTTTAAAAACCTAAAACACAGGTCACAGTCATTTTAATACTTAGTGCCCACCCTAACCCTAAATATGAATGCTTTAAGACTATGATAGTTTCAAAATCTATAAGGCTTGTAATATAATATAATAATATAACGCTTCGCTACGGCTGTCACCTCTGCTTCGCTTTTTAAACCTAAACCATCAGATCACAGTTGTTTTAATACTTAGTGCCCACCCTAACCCTAAATATGAATGTTCTAAGACTATGATAGTTTCAAAATCTATAAGGCATGTAATATAATATAATAATATAACGCTTCACTATGGCTGTTGCCTCCGCTTCACTTTTTAAACCTAAAACATCAGGTCATGGTTGTTTTAATATTTAGTGCCTACTTTACCCTAAATATGAATGTTTTAAAAACCCGAAAATTTAAATATAACATATTTAAATTTTCAGGTTATCTTTTGGTGATACTCATATAGATACAAAGCAAAAAGAAAAATTAAAATTGAACAAATAAATCTGTAAAACGCCAATTATATATATAATACTTAACTATTCAAAGCGATAAATCTATAAATTGAAATGTATATTCAATGAATTTTAAAAAATCAATTAAACTAAACAAATAAATCTTAAAATAAAACCAAATCTGTTCTACTTTCTAATTATTTTCTTTATCATGCTGGCTATCTTTATTAGGGCAGTTTCTTGAGTCATGATACCAAGATTTACATGTAGCACATTGTCTTTTATTTTTTTTCTTTCTTTTGAAGACTGATTTTCAATAGCTGACAAGTATCTTTTATTTGTAGGCGTCCTTTTCCTTTATGTTGACGTGGATCCATGATATTATAAGCATTATTCGAATCTTTATGAGATTCTATTGACTTATTATTATTTTGAGCCATAGAAACATTTTGCTTTTCAATAAATTGTCGCAAAAGTTCTTCGAAAGCTTGACTAGAATCATTTGAAATCGCTAAATTTAAAGCTTTTTTGCAAAGCCCAATACCACACCCATATATATCTTTTTTTGAATCGAAACTTGTAACAGATTCATCAATCATCTCTTGCCCACGAATAATATTTAATGTTTGGAAAGTGCTAGTTTGAATTTCAGATTCATCCTAAATTAGCCCAATTGACTTTTCTTGAACATTATCTTTTGATAAAAGTCTTTCTTTAGAATACCACCTAGATGGCACCAGTTTAATATTAAACCATGCATTTTTTAACTGAAGCATCACAGCAAAAAAATGTCTACAAATGAACTCCATATAAATTAAATAAAGGCAGGTACAATAATGTGTATCATTATTAAATATGACTACATACTGAGATTTATTTGTAATAGTTTGAAGATGTCTAACTTTCCAAATTTCATCTAAAATGCCTTCTAAACAATTCTCTAAAACCATGCTAATTAAAATTTGTGGCTCTTTATAATCATCTTCAAAGAACCCTACACTATATTCATCTGAATTCTGCACTGTTATATTAATATCTTTAAGTTCTCTTATATTAACTCTATACAACAGGCTTTCCACCATTTGCTTCTGTTGCAATGCCAGTGAATTTGGTGTAAGATATTTTATTAATATTTCATCTATAGCTTTAAAAATCGTATTAGAAACCTAGGGAATCCCAGTAGTAGGATTCATATTTCGAAATTCTTACCACCTGGAATATTTAGCTTCATCCTTTAGTCGTAGTTCAATTCCGGATTGGAGTTGGCACAATGAATTCTCTGAATTAGCTTCCATTTTTATAACTTTATTCAAGCTTTCTACATGCTGAGTAGAATGTGTATTAGCTGAAAAACTACATTTAGTAAATGCACATGCCCAACTTGTTTTAGTCAGATATAGTACATGCTCAAAATACTTTTGAGCTTCTGGATATTTAGTCATCAAATTTGACCAATGGTGTTCAAAAACTGTACTTGTAAGAGAGTTGCGCAAAATATAAAAGTTATTAATAAAAGTATCCCATTTATTTTGAAGTTTGGGTTTAACTTTCTTTATTAGATTTTGTTAAATATGAAAAATACAATGTCTTACAGTTGTTCTAGGATATTGATTGCTTATTGCAATTTGCATTGCTGGGTCTGCATCAGTAAAAAGTATTTTTGGTTGTAAATCACCAGTTGCATTCTTTGTTTGTTCTAGGATCCATTCATAGGTTGATACTGTTTCATCACAAACCACTGCCGTTGCTACGATTCGACTTCTATGATTAGAATCAATGATTACAAAAATATTTAAAAGCATTAAATATTTATTTGTTTTACAGGTGTTGTTATTTATAACAACATCATGGTAGCGAATCCACATTTGCTTTTGTTTTGGTGATATCCAAAAAATTTTGAACAATCTATTATCGGTACTCTCAAAATCTACTTTAAAATAATATTCAGGATCCTCTAAATGCAATTTGATTAAATGTTCAATAAGTGTCGCAGCATCATTTTTAACTTGAGAATTAGCTTTAAATTTATATATCGCATTATAAAGATCCTGTTTATAAATGTCCTGATCTGGATACTTTTTTCTTAATATTTTTCTTAAAACAGTAGTATTCAAGTGACACTCTTGCACGTAAAACCTGATTTCATCCATTATTTCATCTAGAATTCTACGTAATACTGGTAAAAATTCTTGAAGAGAATCTTGATTTTGTAAATCATGATTATGTGTGCTAACAAATTTATTAACAAACACTAGATTCACAGATTTACGATATGAAGTATTTACTAAAAACTCACAATCAATATGGGTTGATTCCCGATCTCTGGTTTGTGTAGAATCTACCTTTTTTTTAGGTACGTATTTTCTGCCATGATGACATTTATATGTCTTTCTTGCCCAATTACCCTCTTCTTTTTCAGATCTAACTGTTCTTATTTCAAAGCCTGCTTGGGTAGCATATCGCTTTAAGCATTGTTCAAGTACTTCAAATGAAACAAATGTCTGCCCACTATAAATGTCCTTCAATGCACTATCTTCTAGCTCATCTTCACAACTATCTTCATATAAATCATCATATGACTCTTCATTACTTTGGTATAATAATAAACATTCAGGTTGGTCAATAGTATCAGGTTGGTCAATAGTATCAGGTTAGTCAATAGTATCAGGTTGGCCAGTAGTATCAGATTGATTACTAATATCAGGTTGGTCACAAGTATCAAGTTGGTCATTAGTTTCAAGTTGGTCCTTCAAATATGTTCTTCAAAACAAAAAAATACATTTGTTTTTTTTAATTCACTTACTTAATTTAATTCTTTTTTTTTGCTTAAAATTCAAAAAAAAAAAATCCAAGAAAACCTGAAAGTTTTGCTAGATTGGGGTTTATATGTAGATTGGACATTAGTATAGAGTTGAGCTTCAAATATGGGTTGTGCTTCAGATATGGGTTGGGTTTCAGATATTGGCTGGGCTTCAAATATAGGTTGGGCTTCGATTTTAGCTCTAAATATAAATCGAGTTTCAGCTTTAGATATGGGTTGAGCTTCGACTCTAGTTTCAGATATGAGTTGGGTTTTAGCTTCAGATATGGGCTGGGTTTCAGCTTCAGATATGGCTTGGGCTTTAGCTTCTGGGTGGTCTTTTAAATATGCTTCCGGGTGGTCTTTCGAATACATTATTCTAAATCGATTTTTTTTTGTTAAACTTTTTAAAGCATATTCGCCTTACAATGTTCTAATATCTGAATAAACTTTTACTTACTGATTGGTTCTTAGTTTCAGGTTGGTTTTAGTTAATAGCCCTTGGTTCTTGGTTTTGTGATCTTAGCTACACGCTAATATAATTTTTTTTAAAAACTAAATCCTCAAAGAACTATGCATAATTGCATTATAACGTTCTAATACCTGAATAAACTATTACTTACGAGTTGGTCTTTAGTTTCAGGTTGGTCTTTAGTTAGGGTCCTTAGTTTCAGGTTGGTCTTTATTGGTCCTTAGTTTCAGGTTGGTTCTCAGTTTTGTGATCTTGGTTGTGCTAATTCTTAGTCGTGACTACGTTTTTTGTTCTGGGGATCCTTAGTTATGACTTGTTTTTTAGTTTTAGCTTGATCTTAAGTTTAAATAAAACCTTAGTTGTAGATGCGTATTAGTTAAACCTTGAAATTGGTGCAATTTTTTTTTTTGTGGCCTCGATACAAGCGAAAGCAAAAAAAAAAAAAAAAGAATCGTTTGGTGAATTAAAGTTAAGTTTGTGCTACTAAATCATGTGTTGATGCGTATCTAATATGTACGTAACAATAATGAGATAGTGGTAGCAGTAGGTTATCAATTGATTATTACTATATGTTTTGCAGGGGTACCTGGATATGCATATCCAATGGTAAATAATAAATTTTCTATTTAATATTATATATTATTTGCTACCCAATTTTATCGATATTAATTATCAGCAAATTTATACAGGTAACCAGGTTATTATTAATGACAAATAATGCGAATTACTGCAATTTCTAGAATTACATTTTCGTAACTCTGGTAAACATAATTTTGATAGAATTAACTTGTAACTTTGGTAAGCATAATTTTTGGTAAAATTAATTTGTAACTCCGATAACACAAATTTGGTAAAATTTAATGATCAAATCTGACCTTTAACATAAGGTTCTTACTGCATTTATTTAAATAAATTTGTGAATTAGAAATTTTTCTAATTAACATTAATTGATGACATAAAAATTAATTGTTTAATTATCAATTGAAATAGATAAATTGTGATAGTGAATAAATATTAAATAGATAAAACTAGTGCGATAGGTGGCGCTTCGCGCCACCTATCTTATTCATTAATTTATATCAAATACTTAAATTAGGTAAATT